GGGGGACAGGGAGGGATGAGGGGGACAGAGAGGGATGAGGGGGACAGGACACAGAGAAGGGACACAACACCCGCATGTCTCCAGACCATGGGACAGTCTGTCCCAGGGGAATTCCAGACCCAGGAATGGCACCATGGTGGCTCCTGAAGCTCTGCTGCCCCTTTAGTTTGATCTTCCACCACCCAGCACCCTTTCCAGGTGAAAGAGGAAACAATTCCTGTATTTTTATGGGCTAGGTGCTGGGGATGCAGCTCAGCAGCTGGCAAATCCATGCCAAGCAACTTCCAGAGCTGGAATTGGCACCTCTCACCTCCCAGCTCTGTGCTGGAGCCCAAATTACAGCTCTTTTCCGTTTAAAAAGATGGAACAATAGGTTTGATATAAACACGGGCTGCTCCTCCCTCTGAAGGATGGATGTAGGTTAAAGCAGAGGAATGCACAGCAGCGAGCAGGAGGGAATAAAGGAGGGATACAAAGAGCCAGCCTCGTGCCCAGAGAGGAGATGCTAATGGAACACGACTGACTTGTTTAGTAGGGGAGGACAAAAAGGAGAAGTTAAGAGAAGGGAAGAGAGCAAACAGGAATACAACCTGACACAAGACATCCCCAGTGGAAAAGGCTGGACAAGTAAGTAAAGCTGGGGAGCAGAGGAACAGGAGCAGTGCCCAAACAGAAATAGCACAGGCGGAGTTCTCCCGCTGGGGCTGGGAACGCCCGTGAGTCACAGCTCGCAGCAGCTCCTGCTGCTGGAGCCAAAACCTAAAGGGCTTTTCCCAATTATTTTTTGGGAGAGGTCCTACAAGTGATGACAATTCCTGCTCGTCCAGTGAGAGCCACACCGAGCGTTTTGGGGGTGAGGGTTCCTGAGCAGCAGCTGGGCCAGGCTGCAATTAATAATGGCAAATTGATTGAGGAATTCCTGATGGAGAATTCCCCAGTCATTCCTCCCTGTGCCAGCCTGTCTTCTGGGCTTGGCCACACTCTCACACTCATTCAAGCAACTCCCACACCATGGCTCCTGATCCAGCTGCTTTTTTGGCTGCCATGAATTAACTTCATTTAGAGAGGTACAGATTTTATACTGGGAATGTTCTTTACGTGGTTTATCTTCTCCTTTTTCCTAATCAGCACTTCCTCGCTCCAATTCCAGGGTGCCAAGTTTTCAGTATGGAATTATGGAATGGATCCTACTCTGACCTCCACTATTTAGGAATTATAGTTAATTCCTGACCCTCCACTAAAGTCAGAAGCTTTTGATCCTCACCACCAAGCCTGTGCATCGCTATAAATAAAAGAAGGGATGCTATAAATAAAATAAAGGACGATGGAATGTGCAGGGATACCCCGAGGGCTGAGGAGCACTTACAGGTTGCAGCACATCCCTGGCACTGCCCTGGGGCTGGCAGCGTGCAGGGATGCTGCTGTTGGCCTGGGAAGCAGGGCTGGGAGGGGC